CTTCATCGAGTACTGTATTACCCGGGGGATCATCCGCACTGGCAGCAGCTGAACATACAATATGTACGACTTCTCAGAATGGCTTGAACGGAAATCCCAAGTCCTTCAGCTATCCAGACAAGCCTCTCACATGCCCTCTGACAGGCCACGCCCAGAGAAGAACCTACTCAAAGCCTTAGCAGGGCCCAAGTCACACAGCAAATCTGCTTCCATCTACTACGGCCCAAATCCAGCCCAAGCCAAGCTAAGACCAGGGGGAGGATCTACAGCTCCCAATCCGACAGTCCAACCTAAGAAGAGACAGAAGTTCAAACCTTATTGTCCATACTGTGAAGGTACAGAGCATTATCTGAATGGCTGTGATGGATTTAAAGGGCTAGACCTCAAAGCTATGGCTACCTGGATTACTGAGAAGGCCAAATGCTGGCGCTGTGGCCGTAAACATTCTCCAGAGCAGTGTACTCTAAAGAAGCCGTGCAGCACCTGTGGTGACCAGCATTTGTCTGTGCTCCATGACCTGGTTGAGGCCAAGAAGCGGGACCCTAACATACTAACTGTGAGTACTAGTATGGTTTACCTAGACTATTCAAGTCACTCAGGTCGAGTCATGCTTAAAGTAGTACCAATTCAACTACATCATGGTGGCAAATCTCTGGACACATTTGCTGTGCTTGATGACGGCTCAGAAAAGACTGTTGTGCTTCCTGCGGCAGTTGAATCTCTAGGTTTGGAGCAGGAGGAAGCAACACTCGCACTGCGAACTATCCGTCGAGATGTAATCCAGATGAAGGGAGGCTTTGTCTCATTTCAGGTGTCACCGAGAGCTAAGCCCAAAGTGAGGTACAAAGTAACACATGCATTCACAGCCGACCAGCTGAGTCTAGCTACTCAGTCATGTCCAGCTGAACAGCTGAAGAAGAAGTATCTTCACTTGCAGAAAGTCCAGATCAAAGGATTTAACCAGGTCCAACCGTTGGTGCTACTTGGCTCAGATAATGCTCATCTCATCATCCCTGTCCGTCCTGTCCTTAGGGGGTCATCTAAAGGGCCAGTAGCCGTCTGCACCAAGCTCGGATGGGCCATCCAGGGGCCAGCCAGTAGTATGCCTACATCTGAGGGGGAGCTGCAGTGCCTGAATATGTGTCTTTCTCCTGCAGAGGCCCTGCATCAAGATGTGAAGCGTTTGTGGCAACTAGATGTTCCCCCCTATAGGACAGAGAAGGAGGTCACACGGTCAAAGGAGGACAGAGAGGCAGTGGCTACGTTGGAAACAAAGACCCTCAGAGTCCCAGTAGATGGTGTCGAGAGATATGCCACTCCTCTACTGAGAAGAAGAGACTTTCCACGTCTGTGTGTCTCCCCTGAAGCAGTAAAGGGCCTCCTCAGATCTACTGAACGTAAGCTGGCCAAGAACCCTGATTTGACCCATACATGCAACCAGGAGATCCACAGGTTAGTAGAGTCTTGCTATGTTGCTAAGCTGAGCCCAGATGAGACACATAGCTCTTCTGAGTCATGGTATGTACCGCACTACATAGTACATCACAACAATAAGGCTAGAGTGGTCTTCAACTGTTCGTTTGAGTTTCAGGGGTCCGTCCTGAACCGCTGCCTCTTACCAGGACCTCCCATGGGGCCCACTCTGCTGGGGGTATTACTCCGCTTCCGTCAACACCCTGTAGCCGTGAGTGGAGATATCAAAGCCATGTTTCATCAGGTTCGGCTGCTCCCAGAGGATTGTCCCCTGCTACGGTTTCTGTGGAGGGATTGTGAAACGGATCGGCCCCCAGACATATATGAGTGGAGAGTTTTGCCCTTCGGAACGACATGTAGCCCCTGCTTTGCTACGTTCGCCTTACAGAGACATGCTAGGGAGCACAAAGAAACCCACAAAGACATCCGTGACTCCGTCCACACAGCCTTCTACGTGGATAATTGTTTACAGTCCCTGTTCAACCCAGAAGAGGCAAAACAGCTCATCGACCGGATGAGAGATTTACTCATTCAGGGAGGATTTGATATACGACAGTGGGCGAGCAACGTGCCCGAAGTAGTTGCTCACCTGCCCGCTTCAGCTCGATCAGAGAGCTGTGAACTTTGGCTGAACTTTAAAGGTCTCGACTCACAAGAGTCAACGTTAGGACTTAGCTGGCACTGTCCGACAGATGTCCTGGGATATAAGCACCGCCCCATCACCTACTCCACGGTCACGCTGCGCAATGTGTACAAGGTACTAGCTACCCAGTATGACCCACTAGGTTATATTTGTCCCTACACTACAAGGGCCAAGCTGATTGTACAGGCCCTGTGGAGCACAGAAAGAGGGTGGGATGAGCCCATCGAAGGGAATCTACTTCAGTCCTGGCTTGAGTGGGAAGGCGAACTGTCACACCTTCAGCATGTCACCATTCCCCATTGCTACGCTCCTCCTCATAACTCCAGCAATGTGACATATGAAGCTCACGTATTCTGTGACGCATCGGAAAAGGCTTATGGGGCTGTGGCTTATCTCAGGGTAATCGAGCGGCAACGGCCCATCATCACATCATTCCTGATGGCTCGCTCCAGAGTGGCCCCACGCAAGCAGGTGTCAATGCCCCGGTTGGAGCTTTGCGCAGCACTCACAGGAGCCCAATTGGCCAGATTACTCCAGACAGAGCTTACTGTTCCCATACAGTCGATTTACCTGTGGACAGACTCTACCACGGTGCTGCAGTGGATCCAATCTAGTTCCTGTCGCTATAAGGTATTTGTGGGGACTCGAATCTGTGCAATACAGGAGCTGACATCTCCTGAACAGTGGCGATATGTGACCTCTGAGCTCAATCCTGCTGATGACATCACCAGAGGGAAACATCTCGCTGACCTAACAGCCCCCAATCGTTGGTCACATGGTCCACCTTTCCTATTACAAGCCGCTGACACTTGGCCTAAGCTGCCAACAGAGTTTCCAGCCTGCAATGAAGCAGAGCTCAGGAGGACTGCATTCTGTGGGCACGCTTCTGTATCCCCAACCTTGCCGGATCCAACGCAGTATGCCTCACTAGATAAGCTGATTGCTGCTATGTACCGGACCAGCCTGACCTCAAGCAGCAACTAGCCACGCAGGCTATCAACTTCTGTTTCAATCCCCCACACTCGCCTCATTTCGGAGGAGCCTGGGAAAGGGAAATCAGAGCAGTGAAGTCAGCTCTGCAAGTAGTCCTGAAGGACCAAGTTGTGGCAGAAGAAGTCCTACTCACAGCTCTCATAGAGGTTGAGGGCATTTTGAACTCAAAACCGCTTGGCTATGCATCAGCTGACATAGCCGACCCAGATCCCATCACACCAAATCTTCTCTTGATGGGGCGGCGAGATTCGGCACTACCCCAGGCAGTCTACGGCCCCTCAGGCACTCTTTCGACCAGAAGATGGATACACAGCCAGGTCATCAGTGACCACTTCTGGAAACGGTACATACAGAACTACCTCCCAGGACTGCAACTCCAACAGAAATGGAGGAAGTCCACTGACAACATGACCGTGGGACAAGCTGTTATGATTGTAGACTCTAATCTGCCTAGAGGCCTCTGGCCTGTGGGTACCATTTCCCAAGTTTCCAGGGACTGATGGTGTTGTTCGGGCTGCCGAAGTCAAGGTTGAAGACAGTCTCTATGTTCGCCCGGTGACTAAGCTAGTGAGACTCCCCAAAGTCCCTGAGGACTTAGATGATACTGTTCGGCAATAGATTGACTTTAGCATGTGTGTATTTGTATCCATACAAATACAGGGGCGGCTGTTAAAAGTCCGCTTTCCAGAGGAAAAATGTTTGTGAACACCGTTTAGACTACATTACCCATGATGCACCTCGGTATCTGTACTTCCCGTTGGGAACGTGTTCAGCACAGCTGAAAGGTGTTGGTTGATCAGCGTTTTTCTCGTGCGTTCCTGTGTGAGTTACCCTTGGTGTGCGTGTTTATCATGTGAGTATTATAAGATGAGATTGATGCTTATTTGACTTTATCTGTGAGTTGCTCTGTGTAAATCACTTAGTAAGAAGCTAGTCCTGTTGCTAAGTTGCAGGTTTTGTTGGCCTACTTCAGGCAGCCTTGGTTGCAGCTTATATGGCATTCATATACGACTCACTGTCAAGTATGGTGGTTGGAGGTGGATAGAACTATTTTCTGTGTTTATTATCTGACCTTTAGAGATACTGTTTGCTAATGCATATACGAACAAGAAATTCATGTATGGTCTTAGGGTGGCATCTAGTGGCCATGAGGTTTATAGCAGATCATATAACTTCATGTTGGAAACCCACAGTGCTGTATAAGCGGTACACTGCTATTCATACTAATGGTTGTTCTGTTAACAGATTACCACACCCACATACTCCTGCACACTCACACTCCCTTTACCTGCATTCATAGATGGGAATGCAATTGCCTCACCTGTTGATGTCATCTGCTATCTCTTTAATAAAACTACTTGGACTACATCACTGTGGAGTGCCAATCCTTCTGACCGAGGACAACTCAGTTGAAGCGTGATCGGCAATCAGTGCAAACATTCAGTACAAGTTTCTTAGCAGACAATAGAAATGTGTTCTTTACTAACTTTACTTGGTTTAAAAATCTTACTAAAATAAACAGAGTGCCGTATTGCAAAACCCAATCATACTTGTTATGTAGACATTAGCTTTGTAGATTTTTTTTACAGATATATATTTGTGTGCAACAAAAACCAAACTTAAATAATTTGTCATTCTTTATTGAAAAACAACAAAATACAGGTATACAGAAGTGTGGGAAAATGATAATGTGAAAGTATTGCACTATAAATGTAATCCTATTTATCTTTAAAAAGAAAAACTCTAAAAATGTCCTGTACAGCAACATGACAGAAGAATGGTGGTCTGTCTGTCAGAATGTGCTGAACAGATTTGCTCTTTGAAGAAGAGTGTCATGTTTGGAGGAAGGTACTTAACCCAAGACATGCAGAATACAACACTGACCGAAAACTGATGGAAAAAATTATTTATTTATAAGGAGGACCTTAAGGTGCACAGATAAGTCTGTGGTTGGACCTGCAACAACAGCTCAGCGTCTGGAGGAGGGAGAACACAGGTGAGCATAGGTTCTGGTTTCAAAATCCATTGTAGGCAGGCAGAGGTGTTCAGCAGACTTCCTGTGGTGGGTGTATGTGTTGGCTGGAGGAGGGAGAGGTAGAGAGCCGGGGGAAGCGCAGGAGAGGGAGCAGAGGTGGAGAGAAGCGGGGCGTCCTGGTGGATGGGGCACTGGGTGAGATGAGAGGTGGGTTATGGAGGGTGGTGATAAGGTCCGTGTGCTGAATATCCAAATCCTGGTCCGTGTGTTGAATATCAGAATCCTGGAGTAGAGGTCAGTATCCAATGAGGTCGACAGGAATCCTGAAGAATGGCAAATCCAATATAAGAGCAAAAACACAACGAAATAACATTAATCCTAGGAACACCAGAGGTAACATGAGTGGCTGGTTACTACCAAAACTGAGGCAATCTTCCGGCGTCGAATTGTGTCCACCATCCACCTTAAATAGGAAAGCACCCCGCTGATTGCTGATCAGGAACAGCTGGGCCACTCCCTCTCCTGGCAAGAGACTCACAGATGGTTAAGAGAACAGGAGTACTCACCCCGGCTCATGACAAGGAGCCTTAATGTGTACGAGGTTCCCCTTGAGTAATATTGGTTTGGGTTATGTATATCGCGACGTGCGCGGAGTGAAGCGGAGCTAAGGCGAGGATCCAGACCGGGGAGGAAGCAGGCAGACTGGTAGGATTAATTCCACAGGTTTATTAGGACGCACGCTGACACTGGAACAATGACACCACAAGGAACACAGAACAGAAGGGGTTCAAATACATGAGGAACGGGAGCTATGGTGATTGGGAAACAAGAGGCAGGTGGGAGCAATTAACGGAGACACAGACTACAACCTAGGAGAAGACAGGACAGGGTGTGACAGTACCCCCCCCCCCCCCCCCCCCCCCCTTAAAGGACGGATCGCAGATCCCCACAGGAACCAGGAGCAGGGCGGGGGACCCAGAGGGAGGGCCAAGAGGACGATGGAGAGGCGGCAGGGAACAGCAGAGTCCGGGGCCCGGCGCCTGCGGCAGATGAGGCGACGGGCCCTTGGAGGCCAGCGGAGGAGGCGACAGGCCCCTGGAGGCCGGCAGAGGAGGCGGCAGTCCCGTGGAGTCCGGCGCCTGCGGCAGATGAGGAGGTGACGGGCCCTCGGAGGAAACACATTTCTTTTAACAACGGTAGTTTCTGCTTCAGCCCTCTCCCCCCTCCCCCTGCTCAGCGGCCGCAAACTCACTGATGCGCCTGCAGCCTCTCAGAGTTCCTGCTGCTCTAAACATTAAAATAATTATTTCATTTTCTGTTCCTCGCTTCTGATTACCTTCAATGGTGTCTGTTTGTTGCAACCACCAGGTACAAAAACTAACTTGTTTTCCTTTGAACATCTTAGGTGTGTTCTTGCTGTGTCGTGGTTCTAATTCCATGCTTTCGTTCTTTTTAAACACAGAAACAGTTTTGTTTACCTGTTTTGTAGCTACAGTTTCGCCGACGGCTGCCAGCTTCTTCAGGCTGACGCTGATGGTGGCGCGTCACTTCCTTCTCCGTTTATCTGCGGGCAGCAGAGGACGTTGTCGCCCTCTACTGCCCGCTCTCCCCTCTCCGACGATGCAGTCCCATACGTGGTCCAGCGTGTAAACTCCGTCGTCCCTGTTCATGGTCCCACATCCACGTCTCCTTATCTCGATTGCTTCCTTGATCCATCTTTTGTATTTTTGTTGTTCAGTGGTTATGATCCGTGTGTTGTCCCAGTCCATTATATGGTTTTCTCTTAAGCAATGATCTGTTACGGCTGACTTCTTTATTGTACTTTCTGCTTCTTCTTTTGCTGCTCTTGTGTGTTTTCTACTCGCCTCTTTCTAGCACTCCTTTCTATGTTCTATTGTTCGTGTGATGAGTTGGCGTCCGGTTTCTCCTATGTATGTTTTATTGCAGAGTTTGCATGGGATTTCGTAAATGACTCCACATTTTTGTCCAGCTGATATTTTGTCTTTTGGGTGCACTAGTTTGTTTCTAACTGTTGTGTATGGCTTTGATGGTGTGTTTATGTTGTTTTTTCATTGTTGCTCTTATTTTTTCCGTTATGCCTCTGATGTATGGTAGGGTTATCACTGGTTTTGGTTCTTGTCTTTCTGGGTTTCTGGTTCTTTTTTTTGGGTTGTTCTTTGCTTTCTGTTTTTCTGTAGCTACAAAACAGGTAAACTAAACTGTTTCTGTGTTTAAAAAGAACGAAAGCATGTAACTTGTTTTCATTTGACTATTTTTCTGTCCTGCCTGTTTATTATCTTCCTGCATCTCCTCTCAATCCTAAAGAAAAACTGCTACCTGGGTTCATTTTGCCTATCAAACTGGCATTGGTGCTGATGATGTGGTCATCCACCTCCTGCATTGCTCGCTCGCTCACCTGGAGACTGTTGGGAGTACTGTGAGGATCATGTTTTTTGACTTCTCCAGTGCCTTCAATACCATTCTTCCCTCGGTTCTGAAGGACAAACTGGTGAACGCTGGAGTGGATCATCACTTCGCTTCCTGGATTCTGGACTACCTTTCTGACCGACCACAGTATGTGAGGACTCAGGGATGTGTGTCGGATAGTGTCGTCTGCAGCACGGGCCCCCCCCCAGGGAACGGTTCTGGCTCCGTTCCTTTTTACCATCTATACTGCGGACTTCTCCTATAACTCTACTCAGTGATTCTTGCAGAAGTTCTCGGATGACTCTGCGATTGTAGGTCTCATCAAGGATGGGGATGACAAGGAGTACAGGAGACTGACTCAGGATTTTGTGGACTGGTGCCAGTTGAACTATCTACAGATTAATGCCAGCAAAACTAAGGAGCTGGTGGTAGACTTTCGTAGGCATAAGCATTGCTCGCTTCAACCATTGAGCATACAGGGCATGGATATTAAGACTGTGGACAGTTACAGGTATCTTGGGGTCCATTTGAACAATAAACTGGACTGGACTCATAATTCAGATGCCCTGTACAGAAAAGGGCAGAGTAGGCTTTACCTACTACAGAGACTGAGGTCATTTGGAGTTGTGGGCCCTCTCCTGAAGACCTTTTATGACTCTGTGGTGGCCTCGGCCATCTTTTATGGTGTGGTCTGCTGGGGCAGCAGCATCTCTGCGGGGGATAGGAAGAGGCTGAACAGACTGATCTGCAGGGTCAGTTCTGTTCTAGGATGCCCCCTGGACCCTGTGGAGGTGGTGAGTGACAGGAGAATGACAGCTAAACTGTCATCCCTGTTGGATAATATCTCCCATCCCATGCAGGTGACTTTGACAGCTATGAGCAGCTCCTTTAGTGGGAGACTGCGGCACCCAAGGTGTGGGACAGAGAGATTCCAGAGGTCTTTCCTCCCCACTGCTGTCAGACTCTACAACAAATCTGTTGGATGAAGTGTGCTCTGTATTTCTAAGCTGTATATAGTATGGTTATTTTTTACTCCATTCTTAAGGTATAAATTATCTATTGTATTCAGTTTATTTTATCTCATTACAATCGAACTTATTGTATTTTAATGTTTTCTCCATCTGCTGCATAACGTTTACTTTAATTTTACTTTGACTGTAAACGAAACAAATTTCCCACTTGTGGGACTAATAAAGGTTATCTTATCTTATTTATATTCACCTTATGAGTTACCTTTGAACTGCAGTTCTAAAAGATCTACCGACCGCAAAAACAGCGGAGTGCTCGCTGCTTGGCGGCCGCATCAGTGAGGTGCGTCACCGGAGGACAAGGTGATGCGCCCCGCTCCACAGCAGCGAAAGGCATCAGACACAAATAAAAGAATAAAAGACAGAAAACATAAAAGGAAATGAGCCGACATGAACGATCGCATGTTAAATTAGTTTTTGAGGTGGCGACACCTGATTTGATAATGTTACTGTGGCCATGCTCAGGACGCAGATGTCTGGAGCGCGTCAACAATCAGAGCTCTGCATGCGCAAGCTGGTTAAGGTTAGGATGGGGGTGAGGAGAAGGTTAAATTGCAAGAGGGTAAAGGTCACAATTTGGTTAAATGTCCGTTTTACGGCGGGTGTCTGTACCGACGCTCTGGCACAGCGCGTTGCCTCCCGACGCGCAGGAGCTTGTCACCTGCTGACAGCAGACTGCTGTCTTTTCCGAGGACTGCATCTTGCCGGTCATTATCACGTGACAGCGACTAGTCGATGACAGGCATAAAAAGTCACCATAGAGCGGTGAAGTCGACTAGTGACTAGTTCATTCAACTGCTCCCCAGAGTGTTCTGCAGCATTATCAGCACGTTCTCTTTGAACTTGATATCAAATTTTTACCTCCTCTTCGTCTCCGCATGGTTAAAGTTACCCTTGCGGTCTATCACTGGCAAATCAAAAGTGAGACGGATGACCCCCCCCCCCCCGTGGTACTTGCTTGTTACCACATTCCACCCGGCCACAATAAAATACCGGCCATTATTCACCTCCGCCGACTCCAACACCGGCCAAAATATGATACCCGGCCGTTAATTGAATACAGGCCAATATTAGAGGATTTACGGTATACCGATAATGGCAGCCCTCCCAACGAGCGGGGAGAGCTTAAACCTGGGTCAGATCCAGGGTGCAGCACCCCGCCACAGGCTCCAGCAGGAGATTGGGGTTTGATTCATATCATTAAACACCTTTCAATGCGAACAATACAATTAAAAGAATACGTTTATACAGAAATAGTAACAATGTAATTAAACAGACAGGACTCCAGATCACTGTAAAATACTGCAAAATCCCATTTAAAAGATATTTTTAGAGAGCAAGTAACACCCAAATTAACTTATTTTTGCTGATAACCTGTATAGATGAGTGTCTAATGGTGCTGTACACATGTGCGGTTTATCACTGCCTCAGTGCTGCTCTCTCGCTCCGCCAGGAGACGCCTCTTTCAGAAGCGTTTTCCTAACAGGAAGTGTGGATGAAATACGGTACGTCCCCACCCATGTCGATGCTTGACCCTCACTTTAAGTTTCAGAGGAAAAGGAAGTCATTCATTCAGTCAGAAAGGCAAACGTAGGACAGAGACAACACAAGGAGCGTAATTACACAACCAATCCTGCATCTCTACAAAACAAAGTGTGTTAGGAGGCCTCGTCACTGATGTCTTACTGTTAAAGAACAAACGTCTGATGCCCTGATTTTAGTTTTATTCAAAGAAAAATAAAGGCACACGATTGATCCGGTGTCACGATCTGCCCCTGCCTGCCTGACTGTGTTCCTCTCCTGCCGTGATTGCCCTTATTGTTGTCACCTGTCCCTCGTTTACCTGCCCATGTTTCCCTGATTAGCCCTCTGTATTTAAACCACCTGTTTGCCCCTGTCCTGTGTCAGTTCATTGTTGTTGTCTGCTGGTGTTCCTGTTCGTCCCATCCTGCCATTAAACATTTTTTACTTTACTGAAGCCTGCATTTTTACCTCCTGCTCAGCCCACCACACATGGTCCATCATCTCCACCTCCTACATCGTGACATCCGGTTACTCAGGACAACCAACATGTTCTTTTTTATGTGAGGAGAAATGTATAAAACTAGAAAATCCAGTGATTATTATGCAAGGTTACATAGAACTGATTATAAAGAGTAAAATGGCAGAAAA